ACCACTTCAGCAAAAAAATCCCAAGGTAACAGAATTTTTTAAAATGTAAGGAACGTTAATCATAAATAAAAGCAGCAAGGTCTTTAAAGCCATCTAAAAATCAAACAACTTGGCAACAATTTTATCTAAAAGACTGATAAAATATATCCTCCTTTGCCTGGAGCCACAAGAACAACAAAGTAGGCACTATGTGGACCTCTCTGGGAAGAGCATTCCATAACTGGGGCACCACCACTAAAGGCTCCTCCATGTTAGCTGTGTGGGTTCAAAGTTGCACTCCATGGCAAATTGTAAGTCAAGTATCTAACAAAACCTAGAAATTAAAAGTTATATCCAAGGTATTTCAGATGGCAGAGATTAAAATCAGAATAACTTAGGTAGCATTAGAGAGCAAAATACACTGTCCGATAATATTGTCTTATGCAGAAGTCAATGTAAGCTAGTTCCTTAACTTTCCCCAAGGACACCAGTGAGCAAAAAGAAACAGCACCTGAATAAGCCCAAAGTGTTGTATTATCTAGTGATCATTTTAAGAGCTATAAACTTCTAGTCTATGACAGCTAGTCACACTATTTAGGACAAATTAATGATACGAGTTACAGCTAGAATAAGAGCTTATCAAGCAATATATATTTGTGCTACAAAAGGAATTACTATGGCTGCTTTATATAAAAATATTGTGAAGAAGAGGAGTATTTTTAAAGAAAAGTATTTTATATTAAAATATCATGAAGAGGTAAAGTGGGGCTTGCCATCATATTGATATGAAAATTTCAGATATATAAATAATATTTATTTTCTCTTTCCCCTGACATAAATAAAAACTGGACACATGAAGATGAAAAAGGCCTCCGTTTTAGAGAAATCTGTAAATAAGATTGCATGCCTCAGTCTAGTCCAGACAGTACATTCTGCTTCCACTTCAACATTCTAGCTCTTGCCAGAGCTCGTTGTCAAAACATTAGCTATTTAAGCTTCCCTTTTTAAAACTGCACCAGAAGCCAACAAATAGGACTTGGAAGGAACTAAAAGAGTTTCCACCAGCAGCTGCTATGAAGGAAAAGTTGATAAGCATGAATAATCCAAAACACTGCTAAACTGAAGAAAACCCAAGTTGATTTTTTTATACATTTTTTCCTTCAAGGAGGATAATGGTGTACATGGAACTTGTCCCGTTTTATCTTCACAACAATCCTCTGTGGTAGAATTGGGCCGAGAGATGGTGAGTGACCCACTGTCCTCTAGTGAGCCTTATGGCAAAGCAGAGATTTAAAGTCACCCACATATGGAGGAAATAGATGGGAAAGCATATTAAGACCACTCTGTTGGTGCTGACTTCACATCTTATTTATATGTCCAAGATGTGCTCAAGAAACATGAAAGGCATCAACTAGGTAGCTCATCTGACAAATACAGCAGAAGTGGTCATAGAGGTGGTGGAATATGAGAAGACTGCATCTACAGAGACAGCACCTCACATCTCAACACTGAGAAATCTTCTTCATAAGCCATTAAGAGTAATATTGAATTTCCCTTCATAAGGCAATCATAAGCAATAAAAGAGAAGTTATTTTCAAAAAAGATTGAAATCTGTTCACACTGACGGCCAGTGCACAATAAAAGGTCCAAAAAGTTACATGACAGTTCAGGAAGTAAAGGAAAACTACATGGTCAAGACCACCTGCTTTGATAAGCCTGAAATTAATGACACAGCTTTGTATTTCCAATGAGAACATGGTAACAAAACAACCTGATCCTTCAAGAACTGTAAATCAGGCTGGTCCATGTGAACCATTAATTCATTGACACAATGGGCTGAATTGAAGACCACTAGAAGAATGACTTTGTATAACAGCCAACAGAGATCAGAGACTCAAAAAGTTTTTTCTCTATCAGGGAAGCAAATACAATAAACATCTCATTGGGGACTATACAGCAAGTGATGAGGTATCATATTTGCCAGTCCTCAAAGAAACTTAACAAACCTTGGCCATGGGTTTAGAGAGGAGAGCTGAACCACACTTAAGAACCAGGGAGGAGCAAAGAGCTGTGAGCTGCTCTACTGGATCCTGGGCTTGGAAATAAACAAAGGCAATGAATTGAGTGGACTGAACAGGAGTCAAATAGGGTTTCTCCAAATCGACCATAACATCCAAGGAATGCTGCTATGCTACTATGCATGGGTGAGGAAGATGGATGGCGTGCTCCTATTATCCCAGGACCTATTGGGGGTCTACAGGGGACTGTTTTTATTTTAAACAACAAAGAACCTATGAAGACATAGGAACAATATAGAAGGTCTACCCTGCTTAAAATCAAACTCACTGGGATGACGTCTGAACGACACAACTGTCATTTCCACTTAATAAACACAAGCTTCTATACACCATTAATTCTGGGTGATCACTCCTAAATTTTCCTAAGCAAACACTCACATCAAATAACACAATTACTCTCCCACCCCCACTCCCAAAATAAAAGGAGAGCGGGAAAGGAATAATCACATCTGATTATGCTTCTATCTGCATTGGATTTCTATTGAGTTACGCAACTACTCCCAGATATGGAGAAGGCCTATTCTATCTATTCTGCTGCTCACCATTTACACAATACTTCATACACGTGTTTATTTTCCAGCCAAAGTTAAAAACCTTAAGTCCCACAGATTTCAATGAGAAAAGGCTAAACGATCTTACTGTGTGGTGGGGATAATTGTTTTGTTAAGATGACATAATCTGCAATCCTAAACGTATTTGGACTTTTAAAAATTCTGTAGTACCTGAAGTCCTCACTAAGATGACCTACGAGGCTAAAGTCAACCTTCACTGAAGTAAACACTAATCATCTTTTACTCAACCAAAATTCCTGTAATTACTTTCCCATGGGATTTTCAAGTCATTTATAGTTTATTACATTTTAAGGATATGGAGACCCTGCTGTGTTAAAAATGCCAAATAAAATTATCCCTCATTCACTGCTTTATGCTATAACTTCTTTTCTTCCCATCCAATTAGTGTTACCCTGTTCTTTATGTATCATAAAAATTTTAACTACACGTATGTAAAACATAAAAGAAATGCTAGAGGTCTATTGTACATAGTAATACCACCAACACCATGCTCATGGCAGAGGAACAACTTTCATCCCAAAGACACTGTTTTTAATGGAACTCAAAACTTCAGACTGAAGTGCCTACCCTTCCACAGTCTACAAAAAAAGCAGAAAATGCATTGCCTACATTAAATTATTCAAGCATGACAATTTGCAATCTTTTCTGATAAAGAGCACTATACAAATACTTTACGAAGCTTTAAATACTTTTATTTTTATAGTCAAATTAACCTTCAGTTGCAGCATAGCAAAAAAAAGGAATTTGAACCATTGCTAATGAAGACATTAACATTCCTTAACAACTTCTTCTCACACTTAACATTTTTATCCATCTCTCCATCTTTCACATATATTATTTCAGCAATTCTTATAACAATGCTATAAGGTAGGTCAAGGTAATATTTTTGTAGATGGAGAATGAAGCTGAGAGAGCTTTCCTTCCAGGCACCTAAATAAACGTATGACGGAAACAAGACTTCCAACGACAACTTCCAGCTTACAGCTAATACACCACCCCTGCTGCCAAGTTTATAAAAGGAACACAGCATATTGTGCATGTGCTTAGGATGCACTGCAACCAGGGACACTTGATGATAGGAACAGCCAACGTGGTGCCTTCCAGATGTCACTGGACTGCAGGAGGAGTGGGGAATTGGATACAGGCAGTAGGCTGGATTCTTACCCACCTCCCAAGCATCTGCCGGGCCAATTATGACAGGTGGATGGGACCAGGGGTTGGAGGTTGCCCACTGATGAACTACAGTTCCCACTACCCCTGACTACTGGCCACAATGCCTGGGACTCCTATTTGATTTCATTAAAAAGTGCCACCAAGTTACATTTTGGGTGTCACTTAGTGACATGTTATTAAACTGTACCCTAATACAGTGGTGCCTCGCAAGACGAAATTAATTCGTTCCGCAAGTCTCTTCGTCTTGCGAGTTTTTCGTCTTGCGATGCACGGTTTCCCATAGGAATGCATTGAAAATCAATTAATGCGTTCCTATGGAAACCGCCTTCAGACCAGGTCCGGGGACAGTCTGTCCCCCGACCTCTTCTGAAGGCTGGGGGGGGGGAAACAAGGGCTTTTCTTCCCACCCCCAGCATTTTAAAAAACCCCGGGACAGCGGAGGACTTCTCCGCTGTCCGTGGCGATTTAAAAGCCCCTGGGAAGGCAGGCAGGGGGGACAAAGACTTTTGCTCCCCCCCCCCCGCCTGCCTTCAAAAGCCGTCCGGGACAGCGGAGAAACGCGCTGCGTTTCTCCGCTCTCCCGGGAAGGCAGGCAGGGGGGAACAAAGACTTTTGCCCCCCGCCGGCCTTCAGAAGGTGTTCCCGCCCCGCCGCCCGGCTTTGGAAGGCTCCTCCGAGGAGGAGCCTTCCAAAGCCAGGCGGCAGCGGGAGGCGTTCCTGCCCCGCCGCCTGGCTTCGGAGCATCGTTCCGAAGCTGGGCGGCGGCGGGAGGCGTTCCCTCCCCGCCCGGCTTTGGAGCATCGTTCCGAAGCCGGGCGGCGGGGGGAGGCGTTCCCTCCCCGACGCCCAGCTTCGGAGCATCGTTCCGAAGCCCGGCTGCGGCGGGAGGAGGTGTTCCCGCCCCGCCGCCAGGCTTCGGAGGAGGTCCGAGGACAGTGGGGAAGACGCACTGCGCTTCCCCGCTGTCCCGGAGATTTCCCTATGGGCTTTCGTCTTGCGAAGCAAGCCCATAGGGAAATTCGTTTTGCGAAGCGCCTCCAAAACGGAAAACCCTTTCGTCTAGCGGGTTTTCCGTCTTGCGAGGCGTTCGTCTTGCGGGGCACCACTGTATAATGGTGGAAACCTTATTACTTTGGTGTTTGCATTGAGGAGCCAGCAATGGAAATCCAGCAAAATAATTTGCATGACAAGTACTTACCGCACTGGAATCAACATCACTGTGTATAGCAACCGTTTTAATACCCATCTTCTTGCATGTTTTAATTACCTAGACATGGGAGGAGGAAAGAGACAAAGCTGTTTTAAAACTAAACGGATAACTAAAGACATAAAATAGAATAATTGCAATTTTGGAAGTTATACTTACTCTACAGGCAATTTCTCCTCTGTTGGCAATAAGAAGCTTCTCAAATGTCTGAAGGAGGGAGAAAAGATACAGGTAAGCTCTATGACTATATCAGCATTTGCACATTCTGTACATTTAGCTTCACTTGAGAAAATGAAGCGCTTAACAATGGAGTTGCTAATCAAATTAAAATGGCTCTTATTTTATTTGCTGCTTCTTCACATACATTCAAATTGCCTAGGCATATGTAACAGGACTAATCTCTTGGCTGTTACTTAGGAGTAGGTCACGTGCTCTTGTGTCCCCTTCCAGCAGCATCTCATACCTTAACCTTGGTTAATAAATACATTGGCACCAACATTTATCTTATTTATCTTAAAACCCCGATTAGCAATGTCCATGGTTAATGTTGTTGCAGATGCATCATTTAGCAACAATCAAAGTTACAATCCTATACACATTTACCAGAAGTAAGGCTTGTTGCACTCAAGGAGGTTTACCTCTGAGTAGACATGTCTAGGACTGCACTGTCATAGGGAATTCACCGCTGGTAGGAAGAACGTGCACATGATCCCATTATCTTCTTTTGAGCTCTTAAATACTATCAAGGTTTCAGCCTCATTATGCATGCACTGGTTCCCAGCTAGCAGTAAAACAACGGCACTACAGTCCAGCCAGTTTTGCTACATTTTTCTTTGTTGAAAGTTATATTGGTGCACTTTGCTGCCTCTTTCTTTGTGTATACACAATCAAGCTGTAAAAGAAGAAGGCTGAAGTTACACTACTTAACAAAAGCAACAGAAGCACCTCACTTCTGAATTGTGTTCACTTTTAAGCTTTTTCTTTTCCTGCAGAAATATGTTATGGATTCCTCAAGAAGTTCACTCCAAGTAATTCAGTATATGCAATGCCATGTGGCCTAAGGAATATTGAGGGGGCCCACCCCCTCATTGAAAATTGGGGGGGGGGCTCAGCCCCCAAAGCCCCACAGAGATGGCCCCCCTGTGCAATGGCAAACCATAATGAAGGCAAGCACAGATCACAAAGCAACTCACTCATTGCCGCCAAACAAATTATGGCTAGAGAGAACCTGGTGAGTTTCAGGGACACGTTCAAAATAAGCCACCGTGTTGATAATGTTCACTGGAAGGCATCAGTTCACAGTCTGCAGCCATAAAAAGGTTTTGAATTTTAGGCTCTTTAAATAGGTGGAGATACTGACTTGAGTAAAATACTAGATAATCCCACTGTACAAGCTATCTTTTTTGGGGGTGGGGGAGGGAAGCGGACAGCTTGCCAGTAGCAAACACAAAAGACAGCTTGGTCCCAAGATGACAGTGGAGAAAAAGCAAAAAATAGTATCATCCACAACTATATTGTCGAATCAAACATGCTCAAGCTTTGCTACAGGTGATACTCAGGACTTTCAAGACTTACCTTTTCATTTGGATCATACGCTGTGGAGTGCAGCCCACGAGAAGTGATAAGGTACCATCTCCATTTTAAATGTTGTACAATACACTATAAAATAAGAAAGACGACAAGTACAGATTATTAAGACATTTAAAGCAAATTACCAGCATAATACAACAATGAAATAAAACAAAAACATGGCATCCATTTGGGTTTTCAGCAATTCCCACTGCAGCTTCCCATACCAAATCCCATGCCATTCCAGAGGTTTCTCAAGCCATCAGTAGTAGTTTTCCAGGGGGACGCAGGGGCTGCAGGAGTGGGATAGCTCCATTCCATTCATGGAAATCCAGATCTAAGCCATAGCGGCCACTGACATGTAAGCATCCTGACAGCTACTAGGCACATTTACAGCAGTAGCAAACTAGGTCTGGCAAAAGAGAAAAGAAATGAGAAAGAAGCCTGAAATACAAATGATATATTCTCTGCTTTCCTTTGGACCACATCAGAGAGGTCGAGGAGGAGGAGGGGTCTTTATCAACAGGGTGGCCCAGGAGCTCTATACCCAGGGAGGTCACTTCAGTGCCACAAACAAAGACAGATGCCACCAGTTGCAGTTCCAATAAGGCTTTCAAAACAGTATTAGCAATGCAGCAAGCATCTTTCTTATGGTGTTCCTTGTCAAGTACAGTGGTACCTCGGTTTAAGAACTTAATCCGTTCCGGAAGTCCGTTCTAAAACCAAAACTGTTCTTAAACTGAGGCATGCTTTCCCTAATGATGCCTCCCGCCGCCGGTGCCCTTCCACCATTCAGATTCCATTATTAGACCAAGGTAAAGTTCTCAAACCAAGACACTATTTCCGGTTTTGTGGAGTTTGTAAACCAAATTGTTCTTACACCAGACGGTTCTTAAACTGAGGTACCACTGTACTCTTTAACGTATGTTCTGTGCTGCATTTATCAATTCAAGGTTCTAAATTTCTTGCTGTGCAAGCAGTCAGGGAACCATCCTTCTAGATCAGGGGTAGCCAATGCGATGCCTTTCAGATGTTGTGGACAACATCTGTAATTCCTGACCAGTGACATGCTGGCTGGGGCTGATGGCAGCCCTAGTCCATAACATCTGGAGGGCAACACATCTAGTGGGATGGTTTCCCTAGATAACTACCGAACGTCACTTCTAACAGTTCTGCCACTTTAAGACCAAGAAACAGGACAAATTAAAGGCCTGTCACTTAGCCATGAAGAACAATGGGTAAAGATAAAATGGCACACACAGAGAGAACCCTATTAGGCATTCCCCTTGCACTCTTCCCGAACTCCAATGTTTCACCTACTCTAAAATTCTTCAGAGAAAATATAAAACCATTTCTCACCAGGCCTGTGAGGAAGCTTGCATACCCTTCCCAGAGAAAAGGTTACAATGCATTTACCACATGATTAAATAATAAGACCAAAGGATGGTTTACACAAACAGGTAAAAAAAGTGTTATCCTTTGAAAGACACAGGAGAGCAGAAAGAATGAAAGGAAATAAGCTTCTTTGATGGCAGAAGTTAAAGCACAAGCCACTGTAGGGAAGTCTTTCTTCCACTAGATATGAGGGCTAGCAGCACAAGACACAGAGGCTGTATAAATGCCTATTTTAATTTGGTTAAAGAAAAAGACAGACAAAAAGTTTATTATTCAGGTTGAAAACTACTACGATACGAAAACTACCACCAATTATTATAACCATTCCAAGGCCATCTCTAAAGATTAGCCAGTTTTTTCCATTTATATCATCTTAATCTGATATTTTTATTGTGATTAATACAGTGGTACCTCTAGATACGAACGGGATCCATTCCGGAGCCCCGTTCGCATCTAGAGGTAAACGTATCTAGCGATGGCACAACTGCGCACACACGCGTCGCTTTTCGCCGCTTCTGCGCATGCGCGTGACATCATTTTGAGCGTCTGCGCATGCACAAGCAGCGAAACCCGGAAGTAACGCAGCGCATGTTGCCGCGGAGTGCAACTCGAACACGCTCAACTTGAAGCAAATTTAACCCAAGGTATGACTGCAATGCCTTATATACTTGGGTTTATACCAGTTCTCTAATTAATTAAAATCATTTTATACATTCATATAACAGAGTATCAGCCAGGCAACATTCAGACAGAGAGCGTGTGACTTTAACACAAAAGCAATTATTCAGGCCAACACTGAAAAAATAGTGCAACTAATTTGAATAACAACATGCCCCAGGATAAACTATTTTTTAAGCAGGGGTGAGGAACCTATAGCCCTTCAGTTGTTGGACTCTGCTCCCATCAGTTCCAAGCAGCATGGTCCACAATCAGGATTATGCAGATTGTAGTCTATTGCTACAATAACACATAGAGAGCCCTAGGTTCCCCATCAGTTTTAAAGAATGAAATGCTAACCAACTAAACAACAAAACTGGAAATGTTTTATTTAAAAACCATTATAGTCCTGGCTGTAAGTACCGCTATTCAAATTTGCATTATGCAGACTCTTGCTGCATTCTTGCCAGTGTTAGAAATTAGCTAGGCGCCAGGCATATTTTGCTACTGGTACAAGATCCAATTGCGAGCACATAGAGATCTTTGGTTGCCAGGTTGGCGACTGACATCTCCATCTGGCTGGTCCCTCCAGCTTTCTTAGGCAGGTAAGCGGAAGGTAAGCTTTTTGTTGCACTTATATCCCACCTTTTTGTCCAAGAAGTACATGGTTCACACCCCTCTTCAGGTAATCCTTACAACGATCCTGTGAGGTAGGTTAAGAGGCTGGGATTGGCCCAAGGTCATTCAGGGAGCTTCGTGGCTGAGAAGGGATTTGAACTCTGATCTTCAGGTCCTAGTCCAACAGTCTAACACTACACCACACTGACTTCCTAGTGTACTTCTATTTGGGGCAGCTATATCAATTAAGTAGGTAAATAATATGGAGAAAGCAAGATGTCACTTAGAGTGACTGTTTACACCAGCAAGACTTGCCATCGGGTATACCGGGGTTCAGGACACTGGGCCACTGGACCTACTGTTTGTCTTGTTCTGTCTGCTCCTTCCATTTTATCCTAACAAACCTGTAAGGTAGTTTAGGCCGAGAGATAGTGACTGGCCAAAGGTAACCCAGTGAGCTTCATGACCAGGTGGGGGTATGAACCCAGCCTCATGCCCCCATCTACACTATACATTAAAAGCTGCATCATGCCACTTTAAACAGTCACTGCTTCCCCCAAAGAATCCTGGGAACTTTAGTTTAAGGCTGCTGAGAGTTGTTAGGAATCTCCTATTCCCCACAGAGAGCTACAATTCCCAGAGTTGTTTAACAGGAAACTTCCTTCTTCCCAGGAAACTCTGATCCAGATCTGACTCCATTCTTGCATTCAGAGTGAATGGAACTGGAAAAGAGGAAATTAAATAGCAGAGCCAAAGTGGTACACAGATTGTCTCAAACCCAACCAGCTGCTGTAGAGAAAATTTTTAAGGGTGTATGTCATAGAAGCCTCAGTGTTGAACAAATATTTCTGCTCCTGTAACATCTGCAGTCCTGAGGAATCGTAACAAATGGATATTGGCAACCAAATGCAGAGATTTATGAATATAATATTGGTATAACAATGACCTTCTGGCCTTACAACCAGGAAAGGAAATGTACCAAATCTACAGTTAAGTTTACATTGATATCAGAAGTCACATGTTTCATTTTTAAGTAGTTTTACTTTGCTTGCTTGCTTTTTTTTTTCTTTTCTCCAGGAAAAAATATATATAATTGACTCCAGAGATGTTTTTCACCCATGGCAACTTCCCTTTCTAAATATATATATATATATATATATATATATATTCAAGAATCAGAAGAGAAGTGCAACCTTAATACATGTGGGACTTGATGCAAGCTGCTTGGCTATAATAGGTGTGTCTAACCTGTGGCTCTCCAGATGTTGTTGCACTCCAACTCCCATTATTCCCAGCCAGGACTGCCAACGGTCAAGGATGAAGAGACTTGCAGTACAAAAACATTTAGGCAGCCACAGATTAGCAATCCCTAGTTTATAAAATTTAAAAGTATTTCATTCTCAAATTACAGCAGTTGTTTATATTAGCAGGCGCATACATCTGTGCAGAATCTGGGTCAAATTTAAAAGCTTAATATTTGGTAATTCGAGCAGCTTTTTCTTCCAGAAAGTATGGATGTCTGTGCAAGAATCTTGTTAACATTCTAATAACCTTGCACAGACTTCTCTGGACTGTAGTATAAACAGCTCAAATTACCAAAGCAATTCTCAAAATATTCTCAGCCAGTTTCCCATGTTGGTTCTCTTGTCTTCCCCTTGATTTTTTTATGTATATATTATTAAAATAATTTATATACCAGGTCTAATTTCAAGAAGAAATACCAAAGCAGTATCTATTCTATCAATGTAAGAAACTAAAGAATAATGATAATCTGTACATTAATTTTCACTACAGTCTTCAAGTTTCAAAAAAATACAAGTACACATATGAACCGTTCATTTCCAACACAGAAAGCAACCTCACAGCATGTTATCAGAAATCTCCTGACACATATGACTCTATTCTCATGGGGATAATGCATTTTTAAGTTTGATATGTTCAAGACACTAGCAAACCTACCATCAGTCAAGTTGTAATTGTTACCTAAATGGATAATACAGATAAGGCCAACAGTTGATGAGCCATCTCAATAAATGTTCTCTCATTTCTTACAACAGACTTGCCTGTCTGTATCTTATTGCAAATATCCAGATAACATGCTTTACAACTTCTTCTTGTGAATGTGACATCCCATGCCAGCCTTGGTTCGATTTAGTTTTTATGTGTGTCAGGAAATTCCAGTTTGTTATTTGGTTTACATAGGGGAAATTAAACAAAAATACTTTTTAAAAATCTTCTAAAGCAGTGGTGATTGCAACAAAATGTTGCAATGTGGAGTGTTCCTATTCACTGTTCTAGTCAGTCAACCTTGCCTTCCTCCATGAATTTCAGTGTTAGAAACTCAGATATATAAGCTAATCGCCAAATGGCACCTTAAACCTTGGTTGCGGTCGCCTCAACAGAATGTCTGGTCATATTTTTTCCCAGTGGATTACTACTACTACTACTACTACTACTACTACTACTACTACTACTATTGCTATTGCTCTTACTGTTATTAATTTCTTTTCTATACGACTTTATATCTTTATATCTCAAAGCAGTTTACAACACATTAAAACATCCAATGAAACAGCGAATGTAACACTGAATGTAAGGTGGATGAGGGTCTGGATCAAAGCTTTCCAAACTTCTCATGTTGGTGACACTTTTTAGACATGCATCATTTCATGACAGTAGTTCAGTTTTACTAGCAAATCAGAGGTTAAACTAACCCCTTTCCAGTCCTGCGAGGAGCATGGGGAGAATTTGTGCGACATACCTACACACTGCAGCCAACACACTCATGTGTGTTTGGAAAGCTCTGGTCTGGAACCTTGAAATGTGAGAAATTTTGCATCCTACTTCCCAGTGCCAGAAACTAGGAAAGAAAAACTATCTGCCACTTGGCTCATGGAACCTTGATTATGGGCGCAAAAACAGAAGGTTGGGTCGCCATTTTGTCCTTTTTACAAAGGTGACCCATGCTGTGGTAGGGGAAGCGGCAGTTCGCTCCACAGCAGCGATCCTACTTTGGAGATGGGCAGGGAGGCATTTCTCCTCCTGCGCCCTCAACTCCAGCCTGATGGACTTGCGCTACAGTGAAGGAAGTATTTCTCCTCCCGTGCCCTCAACGCCAGTGGCGGAAATTTTATTCTTGAGTCTCAGTCGCCATAAATGGTGACAAGACTTCTCAAAGTGCTTGCATTCTGACAATCCCCAGTTGCAAAATGTGCCTGGCACCTGGCTAATTTCTCATGCTGCTACTTCATAACTGGAGTTGGTTCATTGGCCTCATTCCACTGAGACTTAAGCATTCAACCTGAACTCCCTGCCCTTGGCAGAAAAGAAGAAAAATTGGCCATTGCAGCCGAGCCCTACCTAGGCCCAAAGTCTTATCAAAGCCAGTTAGTGTTAGCGCTAACCCCAGGAGGGATGCACCACCCTGAAAAGTAATCCTCTCACGAATTTTGCTGCCACACTGGTGGCATAGCAGCAGAAAACTTTGCTGCACACCAGTCAGATGGTGGAGATGTCGGGTGCGAAGCCAATGACAGGACATCTGCATTTGGTTGCAAATGGACCATTTGCAGTCACAAAACTGACCTGGTACCTGGGGAATTTCAAACACTGTCCATTATACTCCATTCTTCCTCTCCCCCAGTTTTGCATTCCACCACCCTCACACTGAAACACACATTACATACCTGCTAAGCACACTCTGTATTCACTGGGCTCTTAGAAAGGGGGACAAATTGAGGAGGGGTTTTGTATTTCTGCAGAATATCTGTACTTCTGCAAACCTACAAAAACCTCTCTACTGTGAATGGATGGTGCCATATTAGCTAGCTAAGTGTGGCTCACTCACTCAAACATCAAAAATGGAGATGACTTATTTCTTGCCCAGGAATCCAATCTGCATCACACATTATAATATTGACGAACATCTGTATTTTTCCAAACTTAACATGTCTATGAATTCATCAACTGCAGAAAACACAATTTGCAACCAGCACCAACTTTAATGTGGTGTGCGTGGTTCCCCTGCACAGGGAAGTGAGCTGAGGGCGTACAAAATAATAGTAGTTGTAGTGATAGTAGTAATATAAAGCCTATATCTATATGGATAGCTACTCAAAGTTAGGCCCCGGTCAGATGGGCGATTGAGTTGTTGCAACTATGACAGAGTGTACTTGAGGCATGTGCATAACAAAAGGTGAATGGGGTATTTGGGGGAGAACCAAATTTTGTCCTTGCTCAGGGAGCCGTATTACCCAAGTCCGCCCCTGTTGCTTTTCACAAGTAAAAGTGGCTAACTACCAGGGAGACTTGGTACATGACTTGTTCCTTAACTAAATGATCAGAGCATACTGAACCTGTTTTCTTGTCAATCCACAGTCACATACAATGGCACCATTACGCTACACAATGTAGTTAGGATTTGGGGACAGGAACTGTCATTTTGCCATAAACACTGCACAGTAATATTCTTCCTTGTAAAGATTAGACTAGCTTACAAAGGCTCTAGATAGTTTCCCAATCACATCTTCAACAATACTAAATCATTGGGTGCTCCCAGACTACTCACTAGGCTAGTGATAGGAACATAATACTGCCTCTCAGCAGCTCCTAACTTGGCAAGTACAGTACATGAGACCAACATGAGTGAGCATTATCAGAACTCATTAAGGGAGTGTCCAAAGTAGGTCAGCAAATCAGACTGAGAAAGGAGAACTGAGGATCTCCCAAGATGCTACAGTGGAAAATACATAGACAAAGGTATGTTTTCCACACAGCAAAAATAACTGCAACAGTGGAACCCATTAAACCAGGGTTTACCAAACTTGGGGGGTTTTTTAGACTACAATTCCCATCATCCCTGACCACTGGTTCTACTAGCTATGAATAATGGGATTTGGACCCAAGTTTGATAAACCCTGCATTAGACCCTGAAAAAGGTGCAAGGTAGGGGACTCAATATGGGCTTATACCCCTATGACTGTTTTGGACTAAAACAAAATTCAATCACAGATATTGCAGCTTCTTGTCCAGCTTGGCCCCTACAGGTATGGTGTGGCAGCACAAACCTGTAAGAACAGGACTGGGCTAAGCAGGCCTATCACATCCCTGTAGTTTTATACATTACCTTTTCATAATTACTAGCCTTAACTTGCTTGCAACTACCAAACTGCTACAGGTTAAATGGGTGGTTAATGCTCACTGTGTTTTATATTGTACAGTCAGTGTTGTATTGGCCTCTGATAAGCCTCTAACTAAACTTCCACTACAAAACATTTACAGCTGGTTATGTTAGGTGACAGTGGTAGTTTAATTCAGATTTATGCAAAGCAGGCAATTTGAGATTTATGGGGATAAATGTACCCTTTCAACTGCTTCACTGTGAACTTTAATTTTTAACTCTAACCAAAATTAAACATTTACCTACCTAACCTGTAATTTAAAGTTTAATTTTAACAGAAGACAGGCTTCCAAAACACTTCATAAGCATGTTAGCTATTGTGGCAGAACTTCTTGAGACTATTTAAGGCAAACAAGTTAACAGACTCAATTACAAGGCATGTCACACCTGTGTTTGAAGGGGAGAGACAAAGAGGACTGCCCTTTCTATTAGAACAGTCAGATAATCATTGTTTTTTAACTCTCCATAGCAACTTGGATATTTTAAAAATCTAATTACCATGCTAAGTTATGAAGTACTTAGACAACAAAAACACATATCTCAGCCATACTGAAATGGCAATGGTGGCAAACTAGTTGCAGTATTGTCCACACATCCATGTGACATCACATCACTGCATAAGCTTACTAGCAAAAGAAGTAATGGCCATCTCATTCTCCTCCTCCAGATCAGACACTGCATTAAAGATTGAGGGTTGTTCTTACTCTTTAAAGAACAGCTGAAAACTGTATATACCACTGTATATACTACACATATTATAGTATACATGAATATAGACAAATTGTTAAGAGAAATTCTGTGCATACAAGTACAAAGATGTGAATAATTTTTCAATAATTGGCCCTCAGTATTATTCCTGCACCTGCTTTATAATTCTCATTAAAATGTATTTGGATAGTACTGTTAGAATGGGACATACAAACACTTGTAGAAAGCATGAAAACTCAAAGTATGATGTAACACCTGAACTGAAGAAGTGCCATGCCAGAACAAACTTTCAGTGTGTGGATGAACAATATGGAGTTTTGTGTTCTCTCTATAAAAAGCAATTACAGGGATACTAAATTATGAATATCCTGTCTTTCTTTTTTTAAGTCCACCTTCCATAGAATGGTGCAACAAGTGCCTCTGGATCCTTCACTCTTGAATTTTCTCTGAGCAAATAAAAAGTTATTTAGGGCAAGCATGATGATATAGTACTTGGTTCATTTCAATATCACTTTCCACCTATGTTAGTCAAAAATTCATTAGGATAGGGCTTCAATACAACACAGGTCTTTGTTGATTATATGGACTTCAGAGTAGCCAAAGGTGCAAGTGATTATGACAAATTCAAAATCCAGGTCACAAATTGCAGTGCCTGCCTACCTGACTGCAATATGTGCTGTGCCCTTCACTACCTCTGCACAACACAGTTAGCCAGAGCAAAAGAGAAATTAGTATATTAACCTTCAAGGGTGTGATGCCTGACACTGGAACCCACAATAACTTTTGGAACCATATTATAGCATTCCTCAGCCTAAGCATTAGTTCATATTAACAGACACGTGCAATCAAGCCATAAGGTAAGGCAAACATCCTCTCGGAGGAAGGTGACACCATTCACAAGGACGCCTATGCTACTCCACGCGCTGCCTCTTGCACAGGATTGTCTCCGTGTTTGACACGCATCACCACACAGGAGCATCACAAAGGACCCTCTTTCGCCGTGCTCTTAGCGAAGGCGCTTCCCAAACGCGGGTAGGTGGGGAGGAGACGACGTCCAGCGCCTTCGCATGCAAACCCCTTTCCCCGCAGGCCGCGCATTTCAAGCCAATAGGTGCGCAGCTGCAACGTGACAAGGCAGGCGTGACACGGGCACTTGCGCGGCGCCCGCAACCTCCATGCTGACGAGAGAGACACGCTCGCAAACCCGGAGGGAGAGCTGCGCCGTTGCACTTAACCCTCCGCGTGCGCGCAAACGTCCCCGACCCAGTTCGTGGGCGCTTCAGCCAGCGCATGCCGGGACGCCGGGGCAGGCGGAGCCCTCCTCGGGCAGGGACGCTGGAGCCGGTTCGAGGGGACGAACGCCTCGCCCCCTCAGGTTGGCTGCAGCTGCGGACTCGGCCGTCCCTCCCACCACCCGCCTGAGGGGGTCCCGCTCGGGCGCCTCACCGCTCGCGCCCCGAACAGCCGCTCCAGAGCTCCGCGCTGCTGCTGTTGCCGCTGCTGCCAAGCGCCCACCCGGCGCAGAGAGGCCGCCGCCGCCATCATCGTCGGCTCAGCCTCCGGAGCTCTACCTCAAGCGGCCTACGGGCCGCCCTTTCACCTCGGCGCGTCTCCACCAATCAGGAGCCGCGCCGGCGAGCGAGAAGGCACACGCCTCCTCCCGTCCTGCCTCGGCTCGCGCGCCTCTCCTCCAATGAGGCGGGGCGGCCGCTTCCCAGCGGAGAGGGAGGGGAGGGGTGCGCGGCGGCGGTGGGCGGGGCGAATAAGCGCAGTAGCTGGAGAGGAGAAGTCGCTTGGACGCAGCAGCAGCAGCACCTGACCTGTATACTTGGGTGGTCAGGACCGCGCAATCTGCTTTCTCGCGCTTCGCCAACGCACCCCCACCACCTCAAGCCATGGGCGTAGCCAGGATATTTGTTGAGGGGACAGGCCTTTTGTTGGGGGGGGGAGCAGAACCTCAGCTAGCTATGTATTTTTATTGATTTTTATTGATTTGCTACACCCATGGGGGCGCAGCTGCCTCCCCCTAAATCAAGTAAATAAATAAAAATGCTTAACTAAAAGTGGAGATTGTTTTGACAGATTTTTCTGAGCACCTGGGGTCAAACGAAAGTTAATTTAAAGCAGCTGTTGTTGACACATTTCATTCCGAATCTGCTAAACAGAGCCAGACAAAGAATGATGACAGTTGGGTGTCCGTCCTGCCTCCTCTCACCCCCCCCCCCATAAATTCTGGCTATGCCCATGAGTCCTGTCCTTATTTGCCATCCCGGCTATATCATAGTCAACAATCACAGAGCCTTACGTCCAATTGCAGAGAAACTTGCCTGCAGTTCTCAACCACAGTAGCTCACTTGTTTTTTTTTATGGTATCATGGTATCAGGAGTGCTATCCCATAATTCCTATAATGCAGTGAGGTTCAAATAGCAGGAAGCATTGCAGGAGTTTGGACTAGATGACCTTATGATTCTAATAACCCTAGGCCCAATACAGTGGTACCTCGGGTTAAGAACTTAATTCGTTCCGGAGGTCCGTTCTTAACCTGAAAATGTTCTTAACCTGAAGCACCACTTTAGCTAATGGTGCCTCCTGCTGCCGCCGCACTGCCAAAGCACGATTTATGTTCTCATCCTGAAGCAAAGTTCTTAACCCAAGGTACTATTTCTGGGTTAGCGGAGTCTGTAACCTGAAGCGTATGTAACCTGAAGCGTATGTAACCCGAGGTACCACTGTACATTTAGGTTGAATATCTGAAGTCTAGATTACTCACACCTGCTCCAGAGTGTTTCCACAGATGACCTACTAAAGCTTATTAAAAAGTAAGTACATTACAAATATGCCCTTTTGGGTAGCTTACAGCCATAGACGTTGTTCCCTGCATCCTCCAAACATCTAACAATAAAAGAGAACACCTCTTGTCCGGTATGATTCCAGTTCAGATGAGGTTTTTCCTTCCCAGCCAACATGCATTGGCAGCCAAGATTGCTCTGAAATCCCCCAGAAATTAAAGATTAACCCTGCAGGACAATCACCTCACTTGCAATGTGAACAGAGGGGGAAAGTCATAGGGCAGTTCTCAGCCAGAATACTAAAAGGTGGCAGTGTAGGTTTCCTTATCAGCTTTCTGTTTGCTTCAAAAGTTCACTGGAACAGTGGCTATACGGTCAGTGACAGTGTCCAGCATTCATACATCGAAGACAGAAAGGAGAAGGCCTATATGTTCCTCTCCCCACCCTTCTTTTCCACCACACAACAGAACATCTAGACTGGACTACCTAGTCCTTGTCAATACTGCTGGCTGGTCTCACAGGGCTCTTTGCCTATATAGGTAATGGATGGTATTCAACTATATTTTATTCATTCCAGATCCATTGAAATTAATGGACCCAACTTAGTCATGTTCATTCATTTTAGGGTGTCTACTCTAAGTAATACCTAGTTGACCACCACCCAATACATATAATGGAAGTGCTCAGCAGAGGATGGCCCTCTGGCTCTGACATTTGTGACCCCAATCCATAAATAGAGAAGCATATTATTATCTGAATCAGTTGCTGGTTGGTAAAACCAGCCGTTGCATAACCTAGAGGCAGCCAGTCCATGGGTACCCTAACCCTGTCAATATATTATTTATTTAGGTTTCTAGCAACACGTATCTCATTCATCCTCAGAGCAACCCTTCATGGTAGGTGTCTTAAGAACTAAATCTGCATGCAAGACTATGGGTCAGCTGCAACTCTGACATTATTGCAAATAAATTCTACTGGAGAGTGTTCACTCTGACCAACATATCTGGCCGATTTAATAGTGACATGACTTGTTGATAGATACCTCATCAATCCTTATTTTACAGATACTTGATTTTCTTCCTGTATTTTCCAGCTTTGCTTCCTCTTTCTTGGCTTCCATTATATCATTGATGGCACCAGAAAAAAATATTTGGGGGGAAAGAAAGGACAACATGCATTTCAGTGGGGTGGGATGGGGGAAGGAGACCAAACCATCTTTAGTCTCAAAGTAAAACTTGCGTGGAAAAGAATGTCAAACTGTTTATGCATCCTTAAAATTACAAAACCTGCAATGCAAAATGAAATTATTTGATTGTGATTCACACACCTTTTGGCCTCTTTATCTGGCAATGCATTCACTGGCTACCCTATTAAAAAACAATGGTGATAAGAATAATAAACCACAAGGAAAAGCTAGAGCTTCTATTAGAGAACTTGTGGATAAAAAAAACCTCAGAATATTTCACATGGTTGCTGTTGATGGAATTTCACCACCTGCCAGACTAGTTTTTTAACCGCCATGCCTTCATCTGAATATCTGTGTACTAAATGGGAAAGCAGTGGGTCAACTACTAAGGAGAAATAACAAAGAAAATAATTTATGTCTGCACAAGCTCTGATCTTTAATTTACAGTGAAAGCAAAGTGCTTTTTCCATAGTAAATAGGTTTCAGACTCGCTCACTCCTTAAAGGTTAATGCCTGCCATGCAAACAGCATTCAAGCGGTAAGCCACTTTCTCAGCACGTGGTATCCTGAGCTGATGTTGTGTCAATATTTTTAAAAGGGCAAACAGACTGTCCCTGTGTAACTATAGGCCAGCTTGCCTACTATCAGGGAAATCAAGGACAAACCAATAGGAAGGTGGATGAAAGACTCAAGGGGGGGGGAATCTAAAAGAAGAACGTTCTTGATTTCATTCACCTTTCAGATGTGACTAATGAAGACAATTGGGTCAAAGTGGCACGCTCTGAGCTATCATTCAGCCAACAGAAATTCTATATTAATACCTATTTGTGTCTTCCTGTGCTTGTTCTTTGCCAAACCACACCACCCATGCACAAGACAGAAGTACCAGCAGACTTGCGGTAACCCCAAGGTATGTACATGTACAAAAGGGGGTGGGGACTTAGGAAAAGAACCCCCCCCAAACAGTCTCATAATAGCTTAATGGCACAGAATATTGAGATACTGGAATAGGGGGAAACCAGACAACCTGACAGACTGGAATAGAATAGAGTGACTGAAATAGAGAAACACTGATGTATTTTTATTTTATTTATCTAAGTTGTAGACAGCCCTTCATATAGTGATTCCAGGGCATTTTCTAATAAATTACAAAATTTACAATCAAATAAAATATACATTAAAAAAAAATCTAACATACCAGCACAGGAAAATATAAAAATCAGCACTAATCACCCATTGATCCTGAATGTCAGAGACAATATTTTAAATGTTCTCTCTTGGTGGTGGAACTTTTCTACCATCCATACCTTCATGGGAAGGCAGTTAGGGGCCCACAACAACAAAGGAAACTTTTATCTCGGTTGCCTCACTGCACATTATGCCAAGCCCACCAGTAGGAGGACAAAGAAGGCCCCCTCTATTGACCACAGGGTCTAGAGTGATTAATGTGGAAGAAGGTGCTTTGACAAGGAACTGGGTCCCAGACTGTAGGCAGCTTTAAAAGTTCATAGTAGCTACTAGACCCAGTAACACATGGGCAGCCAGCGCAGTTTCTGCAAAATATGTTATATATGACTTCATGCAGGTGCTCCAAGAATGCTATCTTGCAGCAGCATTCTACAGTATTCTATGCTATACTCCTTAAAGACGGCCTCTCCTGTATGAACCCTGCGAACATCATCTGAGGTGTTTATTCGCGTGCCTTCTGCTCAGAAGGTCCAGAGGGCAGCAGTACGAAAACGGGCCTTTTCTGCAGTGGCTCCCCACTTGTGGAATGCTCTCCCCAAGAAGCCTTGTCTAACGCCTTTGTTGCATATCTTTAGGCGCCATACAAATACTCCTACACCTTTGGCTAATTAAACAATCTATGGCCTATTAAACTGTGTGTGTGTGGGAGGGTAAGTTTGTTACTATGGTGTGGTTGTGTTTTTATATTGTAAACTGCCCTGTGATCCTTTAAAGCAATTGCTAGCGATTCACTTCATTTTGCTGGGGGTGGGGGATGATTTGGTATTATACTCCGCCCATCTGGTTGGGTTTCCCAAGCCACTCTGGGCGGCTTCCAACAAAATATAAAAATGCAATTTGCCCTAATTTGCCCTAATTTTGCATTCTGCATACCACAACAACCTTAAGATCTCTTTGTAATTTGTGGACACACTTGGAATTCCTTAAAATGGAAATTTAGAGAAAGAAAAAGGCTTTGTGCAGTGGCGGTATCGTAGCCAATGAGGTTAACCCAAGGCACGACTATTGCTAAAATAAAAATAAATAAAAATGGAAATTTAGGGCATTTGAAAATGTCAAATGGTTTTCCTTGGTATAGTTGGTTTAAAATAAATACAGATTTATCTCACACACAGAGAGACCAAAATCCCTACTATAAATGAGTTTCAACTATAGGCAATCATTTCCCACAAAGTCACAAATGCTCTCTCTAAACTGCAGTTCCACTTGGCTTGAGCAGACGCATTTGAAAAAGGCCATATGGCTAGCCCTGGATGTTAAATAGTTTACAGGGCTCTTGGCATAATGGGAAATATTATCAGTTGCTGAGAGTTGTTTAAGGGCCAGGTTATGGCTTGCTGGAAGAAGACTGGGCAGCAAAATGAACATTTCCCCCCTGCTATGTGGAACACATCCTGCTTAGA